TAAAAGTTACAACACTTACCTCGCGATTGATTAATTTTAGATATCACTATACGCTTTTGCGTTCTCCTGGTTATGACATGCCCTAGACTCTACTTCCAGCCTGTTTTGGACGCTTAAACTAACTGACGAAAGGAAATGTTTTTCTATCCTTGGGAAAATCTGGAACAATGAACTGAGATTAGGTACCAGTTTACATTACATTTTATGTCTGCAACTTTTTTCAATTGTCATGTCGAGATCGAACTACCACGCTCTTCTCTACAAAACCGTCTTACTTTTGGTCAATGGGCTGTGGCAGGCTGTGCACACCGCTGCTGTCTCTTCATTGTGTAGAGTACAATTCCTGCATACTCTGCTCCCAGGTTTTGCGCTTTCTACAACGCCAATTCCACGAGTTGCGCCACAGACGATGCATATTCTGTGTTCTGGATCATTCAGATAGGTACATCGGGAACATGGCCAATCTTTTTTCCCATCCCCAGAGGCTTTATTTGTATTGCCAGACTCTTGGCTGGAATAGGCTTTGGAATAACCTGATGTTTTGATGTCCTTCAACCTTACAAACGCGTGTTGCCCTTTGGTTGTTTTGCAAAGATCGGTGGCATAGATTTCCATACACTCTATGCAAACAATTATCAGACAGTATTTGCAAACAATTATACCTTGCAATCCACACAGTTCGCAAACAGCAGCACCTTGAGTACCTTTTTCAAGAAAACGTTTTTCACGCGATATTTCATTTTGAGGATCATTCTTTGAACTGGTCCCTGGAGTTTGGTCTTTCTGTGCTGAAGTCCGCCGTGACGGACCAGGTGGTGAACCTTTTGATTCAGGTTTCGCTGTACTATGATCCTTAAGGTCAGCTGCACTGGATCCGCTCTTACGGGTAGCTCCTTTATTAGTTACATTATTTTCAATTTGATAGAGTAACCTAGGTGGCTGTGCTCCCCTCAAGGTTCCAGCTCTAGATCCTGTGGCCTGTGCACCAGTCACACGTTCGCTGCCAGGCTGCCTTCTATGTTCACTGGACGTACTACTGACCTGTTTAGATTCTTTGCCAGCTGAGCGAACATTAGACTCAATGGTTAACTGCTGCCTTAATGTGGCGTTTAAATCTGTAACTCCTGATTGAACTGTGGTTTTTCCATATGTCCCCTCTGCCATCCCGTTGTGTTGAAAAGTGGCATCATTCCGACTCACACGAGAATTTTCTCTTTGTTCTACTTCCATCGGTTCACAGGAAGAAGTGCCAGTTGGTCCGTATTTTGCATCTCTGCGGTCATGCAGTCTCGCACTTTCCCTTGTGGACATACGTTTATCCGATTCGTTCGATATCGACTTCTGACCAGAGTAGCTGCTGATGTCTTTAACGTTAGCATACCTGGCATCCCCAGAAGCAGACACATGCACGCGTGTCACCGTTCTTGGAGAACTCTTGGAATGATATCCATTAGTATTAGGTAAAACTTTACTTGATAGAAGTACCGTACTCCTCTGGGTGACCACAGCAAGTCCCCTTGTATCAGAACAAGACCAATTATTATCTTCGTTTACAGACCCTCCATTCATGTTTGTATGAGGCTGGGACGAAGAAGCTCTGGAATCAACAGATTTAGTATACCTCTGTTTGTTGTCTTTCAAATCCGCAAACACATGGTCACCTTTAGTCGCACCGCAAAGATCGGTCACATAGATCTGCCTGCACTTTCTACAAACAATTCTGTGACAGTGTATGCAAATGATCGTACCTTCCAGCAAACACTGATCACATTTACCATTATCATCACGTTTCACATCTGCGTGAGGCGCCTTCCCCTGGTGCGATACTTCAGTGTCGCGTTCATTTTTTGAGCTGTGCGCTGGATTGTGAGCCCGCTCTCTCTGTGCTGAGGTCCTCCGTGATGGAACAGGCGATGAGCCTTCTACTTCACTTTTCACTGCAGTCTGACTCGTGAAATTTTTTTCCGTTTGACAGAGCAACCTGGTTGGCTGTGCTCCTCCTGTGGTTCCAATTCTAGATCCTGTGGCCTCCGGTGCACCGGTGACACATTCGCTGCCAGGTTGCCTTCTATGTTCAATTTCAGGGTGTACCTCTAAGGAATGAACCAAAAAATGAAATCGTTATATATTTTTTTATTACTGCTTGTAACTACAGAAATTGACATGTGATTTCCTTTTAACCAATGATTGATGTTATCGTTAAACCGGATTATCTTCTCGGTGCCACTTTGTATGTTATGGCGTACAAATATCGCCGATAATGTAGGTTATTATATGACTGGAAACATTACTTCATTGTGATTGGCTGAGAGCAAAAACATCTGTCGTTAATCTTTAATTTCTTTCGCAGTGCAACTTTCCAGGCGCATTCGTAATTTTCTCACTCATATAATAAATAAATACTCGTATATGGAAGCTCGAGCAATTAACGATTAACCCTACCCATGAAATTTGAAAATTCTTTCAAATTTCCCTCACCGAAAAGCTCGTACCATTTTGAGAGGATTTTCAAATGTCACTCGTGGTGGAAACCCCAGATATGTCCAGGATTGAACGCTAATGAGATTCAATTTCCTTATGATAAGCATCACAAAGTGTCCTCATTGGTAAAAAGTCACCAAAACACACACAATTCTGTCAAATATGAAGCAAAATGAAAATGTCAAATAACCCTGCCAAATATGAAGTACTAATTAAACAATACTTCACTCAATCCTGATCATAAGTGGGAAATCCTCAATTGCACTCACATTCATATGGTTAGCTCGCATGTTTATTGCAGCTCAATTATGGCCTTTCGTGAAGCAATGAGAAGTCAAGAGAACCGAATTAGATGTCATCATCTCATCAACATGAACTCTATAGAAAACTTACCCTCCTCCCCATGCTTACTTAAAGCGACTCTTAATGCCTCCTTGACATACTTTATATCTTCTCCCATTTCACGCAGCTGTTCCTTAATGACATACTCGTCCTTTTTCCATTGCTGTAGAAGCTCTTTAAAGTGTTCCTCAATAAGAGGGTCCATACACTCAGTCTTCAATTTGTCAATTGCATCTTCATACTTGGCTCCCCCTAATCTCACCAGTACTGCTCGGATGTTCTGCCAATGGGTGTTGAATGTTGCATCATTAACAGAGGCCTGCGCTGCAAGGGCATACACAGTATTTCTGAAATACTTTATGCGGACAATGTCAGCCTCAAGACTCTTGTCTTCTTCAGATGGAAGGTTGCCCCAGCCATTTGCTGGAGGTCTCAAATCGCATATATTTCTAAGGAGAACCATCAAAAGTGTGATATCAAAAGTTGCCGAAGACACAGAAGATGCTATGGCAGGATACAATTTGCACCACTGTGCTGGGTTTAAGATCTTTTTCTTCCCTTTGAAAAGGGCTTGAAGAGTACTGTGAACAGGGCGACTGGCCAAAACTGTGTGAAGACTTCCGGACGCATGAATACCATCGAATGTGTCTCTTAGGGCCTGAGAACAAATATCAACCAGAAGGCGACACAAACGAGAGTAATTGGTCGTCTCTTTCGAGGATGCTACTGATGGGACAACACTGGCCATGAAGAGGCTTGAGTGCACCAGTTTATGTCAATAGAAGATCAGTTGCCCTGAAACGGGATCAAAGAGCTTTATTTCATGGCAATTCCAACAGCTGTCGAGAACATTCTAGTAAGGGATCGGAAATTTTGTCTTCTTTCCTTTTTAACTTGGCTCCAATAGTAGAGTTTAATTTAAGAACACAGCCAGAACGTAACTCAAGATAGGATGGTGGTATCCAGTGTCCCATTACCGGGGACATAACCGAACAACAATTTAAAAAGCACCTGTATATATGCTAGCCTCTAAATGAACTAATCCTTTGTTTACTAATTCTAAAACCACTATTGATTGCCAATGAGCTCAATGCTGTTTTTTGATAGGCAAGTCAGCCTCTTTTAGGCAAGTCAGTTATTCTGCTCATAAATATTAGCTACTTACTTACTTGTAGTTCTCATTACAAGATGTTGCACTAGAATACAGATTAACAAGTGGTTACCATGGTTACTGCACTTTCAC